TCTTTCCACACTGAATTCACTTTGCCAGTGTACCAGACATATGTGAACAGGTACCATGAGAAGCAATGTTATTTCACATTGTCATGCGGATTGGATGTGGTTCAAACCGCATTCAATCCCCATGTATGTGAACCGCCACTGAGACTTTGTTGCATGGATATAATCATTTTAAATATAATGCACAATACTGGTAAACTTTAAATTTCAATTTAAATGCCTTATATTACCTCCAGTCTATCAGCCTCCAGATTCCAGAGACCTTACTGTGATTGTAAATGTTGAATTTTTTTTTTAAACTAATCATACTTGCCTGCTCTGTCCATTGATTTTTCACAGAGCAGCCCCGATTCTCCTCTTGTGGAATCCCCCTTCCAGCACTTATGGCTCCTCCTGCCTTCAGAGTGCCCCAATACTATAGCAAGCCACAAAGTATAGTATAGAGTGCCCCCTTAGCAAGGTAAAATAACTTCTGCCTTTTAGAATCTATTTAAATCACTTTCTTCTCCTGCCCAAGGCTACATGTCCCATGAGGCATTGCTCCTCACACATTTACAAGTTCTCAGACACTGACATGTATGGACAGTATACTGAGCTGTATGTGTGCTGTACTGTCTTTTCTGATATTTGAACAAAGAATGCATTCTGTATGCAGGCCAACTAATCAAGAATGAAAATCACTGACAACAATTTTCATAATGAATTAAATTAAGTTGTCGATTACTTGTTTTAGCCCTACTCTCAGCATAGCGGTCTGCCTGTACCTTGTATGGGCAGGCAGTTACCTGAGAGCAGAAGGAATCGATGAACTACCAGAGTGCTCATCAGCACCCTCGTAGTTTGTTGAGAAGTACAAGCTGTCAGACTCAATGGCTGACGGTACTTGTATGCATAAATTTACAGAACACTGTGAATGAATGATGCTGCCGTGTGGGTGGAGCCCTGCTTGGCTGCATTATTTTCAAATTGTGACAGCAGGTGAGGGGAGAAGATCCCATGCCCACTGTCACGGGGTGGGGGGAGGGTATACTGAGGGAATAGAGGCTGCAGATCCTGAAACGTAACACATTCCACCCGTTTTTAGGGTGGAACATGTAACATGTTTCTAAGTTAAACTTGTATATTCCTCCACTAAGGCTGGCCAGAGATTCTTTTTCAAACAGATTTCTCCAACACAGTCGAGGTGAAGGAATCCTCCCTACTGTCATTTTTTTTTTTTTTTTTTTTTTTTTTTTTTTTTTATATTCTGACAGTGGGACTCCTCCAGAATACAAAGATTCTGGAGGAGTCCCACTGTTGATTCAGTATATGTCGAGCAGGAACAGCCATACATGGATTGAAATTCAGCTGGTCCCTGCTAAACCGAACACATTTTGATCCATCTATGGGCAGCTTTATAAAGTGTAAAGCTGATACCAGATAAATAAACCATTAAATGAATAAACATAATTCCTATTTAAAAGTTCCACAGAACGCAAAAGATAAAAATCCGCATTTCAAGTCTTAACCGTACTCCACTATAACTATCTTATACCATGTGAACATGAATTGCGCATGTACAATAATCTGTGGTGTCACAGCATAACAAGAAAAAACAGTCAAATATACAATTATACCGTGTAAACTGTAAAAAAAATATAATCTCACCTCTTACAGGTAAAAAAAGACCAAAAATAACAGGACCAAAAATCTTTCCCAGCTATTGATGTCTCCAGTTTCAGTTTGTTCCCATATGTACATTTCACAAAATGGCAAGAAGAAACATGGCCATAGTACAACCCTATCTATTAAACTAAGCCTAAAAACCCAGTATATACTCTTATATCAAACATGTTCACCAAACACAAAAATGACCATCGCAAAACTGGAGCTGCTGTGCGTAATAACCAATCCGCTTCTATCTTCAGCTTGTTCAGGTAACTTTTAATAATGAAAGAAGCTGATTGCCACAGCTGCTCCAATTATTTTGATTCCCCTCTGTGTATACTCCGTTATGAACAGTCCCAGTCAGATTTTTATGCATCATGTACTGGTCAGTGCCACATACAACACACCTTTCCCCATTATACCTACTACCTCCGGCATGCTGTGACACCACAGAGATTATTGCACATGCGTGGTTCATGGTTATATGGTATAAAATAGTTTAGTGCTATGTAGACTTGATATATGGATTTTTGTATGCTGTATCTATTCTTATGAAAAATATGCTTTTAGGAGCAATTTTCAGCATGTTACCTAATAATAAGGTATTGGTGAGAGCTTCAACCTCTAAATACTGCGCTGCAGAGCTGTCTGTGCTTTTGGTTTAACTATTCCTAGAGTGCAGAACTGTGAAAGTGCTCACAAAGAGGTTTATTCTCTATAATAATTTTTTCCATTTGTTGAACAAATTAGAAAAATTTTAGGCTTGTTTAAAGGCAAAGTTTACATGTTATACCTGTATTTAGGGTTTAACCGGTTCCCGCCTGGCCAATAGCACAAAGGCGGCCGGCAAGACACCTCGTCCCTCCGAGTGGATGGCATATTCCGTCCTTTTAGGCATGTGCAGTGCGCCTGCCCACAGGGCCGCTCTGCGGCGCGATCTGTCACTGGCCGTATACCTCGGACACGGCCGATGACAGATCTGTGTACCTGCCCCGTTTCCAGTACCATGTGACCTGCTGTGACCAATCACAGCAGGTCACATGACAGTTGTATACAATGGATGGCTTCCTTTCATGCCATCCATTGTATACAAGTGTGTCTAGCTGTGAATGGTCACAGCGATCACATGCACAAGCTGGACCAATCACAGCCCAGCTGTGTCATGTGATTAGCTGTGGCCAAATCACAGCTAAGCACCAAAAAAAAAAAAAAAAAAAAAAAAACCCTGAATGAATCGATGTCATTCAGGTAAATGCTTGCTTATAGCAAAGTAATTCTTTGCTATAAGCAAATTGTGTAAAAAAAAAAAAAAAAAAAAAAAAAAAAATACTGATCACTTCCCCAAAGTAGTACAATGTTACTATGGTAACATTATACTACTTTGGTCATAGCAAAATATGAAAAAAAATCTTAAAAAAAAAAAAAGAAAAATAGTAAAAAAATTTAAAATAATAAAGAAAATAAATTTTAAAAAATTCGCTTTTTTTCTTTCGTACTGTCACCAGTCAGATTGGACACAGCTGATCACATGACAGATTCAAAGTCATCGGCTCTTTCCGCTGAACGGTGATCCGCTGTTTCCCAGGGACACAGCACCCCACCGATCGCCGCGCTGCACGCCCCCGAGGGCGCGCATGCGGTTAGAGTGGGAGGTCGTCATATGACGTCCAACCAGAACGAGAGAACTGCCTTGCGCCCGTCATTTCCTTATATGGCGGGTTGGAGGCAGCTAGATATCTCCTCTGCCCTTACATTATCTAATCTCATCAAGATTGGTGTGATCAGATGCTTTCCCAATTTATAAATGGCGCTGTTTATATCCTGCGAAACTGAAGTGATGAAATGCTAGTAGCTTCCGGTGTCTTAGACTATAGAGATGATTGGAGCCATTCTGATTTCTGATCAGCTGTATGGTCAGCCAGTGAAACTGCCGGCTGCATTCTCTGATTCCCCTGTGAGACAGGAGAGCCCAAGAAAACTGGAAGGCAGAAGGAGGGGGGGGGGGGGATGTCCCTTCCCACTGCTCGTAAAAACAATTCAGAAGCTAATTGGCCACTAGGATTGCTTTTACATGAAAGCCGCCCACCAGCTGAAAAAAAAAAAAAAACTGTACCAGAATGATTCCTGTAACTGCAGGAATCATTCCGGTATAACCACTCCAAATCCAGCGACGTACCAGTACTTTGCTGGTCCACGTTTGGCATATATGTAACAGCAGAGAACACGGGCATAAGATGAATTGGCTCTGTGGATCATCATGACTGCAATTTTCTTTTCTGTAATGCCCATGTTGAGGGTTAGGCCCAAAAGAGTTTTAAATTCAGAAACCGTGATAGGTTTCCATGCGAATTGTCTGGAATGAGCTGAATTTGGGTGGGCGGGGATGTATCGTTGTGCGTATAAATTGCCTTGGCCCACAATCAATTGGCACAGATCTTCCGTGAAAAACAGTGGAGGGGCTAAACGCTAGTACTGGCAGCGAAAGAGGCCGATCCTGCTAACTCTGTGTTTTTGTGGACACTATACAAAGCAGGCACTAGTATAGTTCTGTATGTGATCAATATCTTGATCCATACATAAATACTATACTAGTAATGGGGGTGATCAGCGACCTATAGCGTGAGTGCGATAGTGTGCAGACTATCTAACGCTAGCTGACCCTGGCTGGGTGGGGCGCTAACTAACCCTAACATTAATTGAAGTCTCTAGTCGCAGGAATACAGTGATCAGTGAAAAGTTCTGACACTGTACTAATGGCACTGGCTGGGTGACGGAGTAATCAAATGGTTAATAGGGGCGAACAAAGGGTTAATTGTGCTAATCTAACGTGTGTGTGTGTAAAATTTTGTGCTTTTTCTTGGTGCAGTGTTCTTTCTTCTCTCCCTGGACTGACAGGTGGGGGGGGGGGTGCAGGTGCGTTGACACCCCAAAATAGGAAGCGACGCAAGATTACGTCGCTTTGCCAAAAGCTGCTGCTCTCCCGCAAAAGGCTCTAGGCAGATTACTGAGCCTGGAGTCGGTTCTGAGTCAAGCCCAACCATATGGCTTAGACCGGCTTTGTGACATTTGCTGAAACCTGTCACAGGAGCGCAGAACTAACTGCACTCCTGTGATCCATAGGAGAAGTACATTAGTATATTTTTGCTTTAAATTTCACACACTGATATTAGAACTTGCTGGTTATTACTATTCATTCATGTATTTCCTTTTAGAAATTAATAAACCCAGAGTAAAGTAAGCATTGCCATTTTTGGTCTGGAAATCACATTTGTATTTGTGATGACATTCACTGAACAGACCAAGTGATGCTTTTAGTAACTGTCTTATAGTGTGTCTTTTAATGGTTTATTTTGCAGGTTGTGCAGATGCTAAAAGCCGGAAGAGCAAAGGAGGTGTCATATAATGCTCTAGCTACACACATAATTGCAGAAGATGGAGATAATCCTGAGGTTGGAGAAGCGAGAGAAGTATTTGATCTCCCCATTGTAAAGGTAAATTTGGAGTTTACTAAATCTGATCATTTTGTCACATGGATGATAAACGTTTAGCTGCTTTTTAACCATTCGGGCAGGAATACCTATCTTCAGTGAAAGAAGCTTAAGGAGCAGACTCTTCTTCCACTTTAGCTGTTAAAATAGTAATTTCTTTATCGTACATCAAGGGTCACAGAGCAGGCCATAATAATGACTATGTGGGTTATATGCCACCTATAGGTGAATGGACACTGGCCGAACAGTCGAGAGGAAGTCCTCCCCCCAAATAACCCCTCCTACACAGAAAGTACTTCAGTGACCATCCATCTTACAGACACTGGTGAAAAAACTAAAGTGTTGCATGTGCTCTTGGAGCGTACCTGAAGGTCCAGAATGGTTCCATTGTAGAATCAGGGACTTTAATCGGATCCATATGGAAAGCTGTTAGCCAAAATGGATGGTACCCGAGCCTTTCTGGATAAAGAGAAGCCTGTAATGCAGCCTTACGGAGCTGGACCCTGCATAATGGAACCCTGTGCAGTATTACACTGACCAAGGCTCTTTCTGGTGGGGTGCTGTACAGGTCCGAGGCAGTGGCCCCACATTATGGGGACGGAGTCCTTGAAGGTCTGCATGACAAAGCCCGCCATGATGGGTGAAGGTTAGACTGTTATGATTAAGGGTCCTGCTGTGGGAAAGGTAAGTTTGCATTTGCAGTATTTCTTTGAAAAATCTGACTGTTTGGTCATTCTCCCGGTGGCCACTGGGGGCAGTGTGCTATTGGTCTGGCCAGGCCATGCTATGTGTCTCTAAAGGAGTATTGGGCTGCAGCTTCTCCAGCCACTAGAGGTCATGGGGCCGCTCTCTATAGCCTACACGAGTGTTTTCTCAACCTTTTTTCGGTCAAGGCATCCATTAAAATCATGGACAGTTCCGGGGCACCCTTTAAAATCATGGACAGTCTTGAGGCACCCCATTCTAAAATGTGAAAAACTAATCTAGTAGTTCTATATAACACAGCTACATCCACACATGTAGGACACCCAACATTATAGGCAATTTATTCTTCCAAAGCAAATACGCTTTTGCTCGCTGGTACTGACTAGTTTATTTCAATGTTTCTCTTCTCATCACTGAGCTAATGTGACTCCAGCACTAATGGAAATGGATAGGGGAGGGTCAAAATAGGATGCTGTGCAGGCAGCTGACATCCTCCTTGTCTACTGGTGTCAGCTAGAAGGTTGTAATGGTGCACAATGAGAACCTGAGGTTTTGTGTAACTAAAAGGCAGGCTTTTTTCAACCGCTGGCTTGTATTCAAGTTGTGAACAATTTTTAGACATTTTGCCAAGGTGCCCCTGAAGAAACCTCAAGGCGCCCAGGTTGAGAGGCTGGCCTACACTGATACAGTGGAGGCAGGAAGTAGATGGGTGGCCATTTTAGCTTGTATTTGTAATCCCATGTGGCTGGCAGTTTGTGAGGCACCTGAGAGGTAGCAGAGAAATGGCGCAGTCTATGGCTGGATGATTGTGTGTATTTCCTTTTGGGGAGTTGCATGACCAGACAGGACATGATTATATACTGCATTAGCCTGCATAATCCCGGGGGGCTTGTACAACTTGTTTTGTTTTACCCTGCAGGGGTATTAGTGCACTTAAAGGAGTTGTCTCCAGAGTACTTTGCATTTGATCTACAGGAGCTTATATTTTAACTGCACTGAAGCAGCATGGAGGCTGCATTCAGGCTGTGTTTGATACATATATTTGCCTAGGATGGGGGTTGGGGGAGTGGTAGTAGTAATCTGGTGGTGTTCGCATTTGACGATAACCAGTGGTGTCATGGGTTTCTGGCCCACTATTCTGTCTCTCCAATCTAAGCATTGAAAGTGTGATCTCTGTAACTTACAGTTGTGATGAGATGGCGATAACTCCAATCTTGAATATCACAGGCAGTGACTCAATACAGAAGACCGTTTATTCCATAAACTAAGAGAATCTTACAACAATGAACATCGGATAGGTCAAAAGATCATAATGTGACCTGCTTCATGACATGAGGCTAGAAGCTGCAATGCCTTACTGGGAAAAGGGTTGGGTTATCTATACAGCATTAACTAAAGCAAAGGAAAGGGAGGAGCAGAGACAAAATATAGAGAACACTTAAAGGCATATGACAGTCATGTGAAACATGATAACTGTGTTTGTCTGACATTGCAGCTATTCCTGGTGGCGGAGCTGCAATGGACTACGGCCACATTACCCTGCATTCACCTGATCTCATCTGAACTTGGAATCTATTCAGGGTCAAGCCCTGGTTACTACTTGAAGGGGAGACTGTCTGGGTATACCAGGTGTTGTAAGCTTTTCCCCTCCAGGGTCTGAGACGGCTGTGTTTTGAGAATTCTCTTGGGCAGAGGATGCTAGGGCAGTCTCTGAGGTGATTTGAGACACTCAACAGGTTCGCAGGCCCTAAACCAAACTGGTGTGAGGTCTATCCTAGATCTCAAGGCACTAGACATAAGTCTAGATGTCCTGTTTCGGATGGGGTCGGTCCGATCAGTGGTGGTTGCTCTGCAAGAGAGAGATTTCAGGTGCGATATTTCCTAATGACACATATCTTCCTGTGCCAAATTTTTAGGCTTATCAGGGGTTCTGTGATATAGAGAATCACCATTTTGTTGTGGGGCACTTCTCTTTGGGGTGGCCACAGCGCTCCAAGTGTTCCTTTGCTCGGGGAGCAGTCTGGTTTCAAGTTTAAAGCGAAATGTAAGAAGCAATAAGTATCCTTTGGTACATTTCTCCATGAGGAAATATCTACATTGAAGCAGTTTTCTCTGTGCGGTTCCACTCCAGGTCTTTTGTATAGGAACTTTCTATCTGTCTGGATCATGATTGCCCAAGCATTGGATTACAAGAGGGCTTTGTCCCCGTGATATTGCAAAGTCCAAAATTGGTTTGGAAGATAGTAACCATTGATGCCAGTCTCTGGTTTGGGGGCTGACTTAAAGGTGGCTAGCGTTCAGGGGACATTTTGTCTCCACAGGAGGGAATACTGCCCATCAATGTATGGAACTTCAGGCAGTTCGCCTTGTGCTGTATTATTGGACGAACCCGTTGCACAGGGTATTGTCGGGGTTCAGTCTGACAATGCTATAGCAGTGGCATATATCAATCACCAGGGCAGTACCAGGAGTCATGCGGTCTGGGGCAGAACAGTATGTGCTCTCTGTCGGCCGTACATTTTCCAGGTATAGGAAACTGGCAGGGGTTTTTTTTTACCCCAGAGGTCCACGGCTGTTATTGGGAGAATGGTCTCTGCATCCCTGCGTCACATGCCTAATGAAGGGGTCCTGCGAGACTCCGAAACATTGCCTTGCTGTAACTATGTGATGGTTTATTAAAACCTTTGGACCCGTATTGGTGATCCTCGGTGTGCTGGTGACATTTTTTCCTTGCTGATTTTGTTCGCTTCCAGCCGACGGTCACTGCAGCACCCACTTATACACACAGCCATTTTTAACGCAGGAACGTGTGCGTTTGGATTATACACTTGGTCTCTGCATCCCAAGACGTTCTCTGGAACCTGCCTGCATTGGGGAACTCCTGGATGTGGATCCACTGACTTCCAGGTTCTACGACAGGTTAGGTTGTGCCTATGTCGAGAGTCCCACTGGCAATAGAGGTAGATGCATGGTAACACCTTAGGGACCAGTTCCCCTTAATCTATAATCCCCCCCCCCCCCCCCCCCCCGATTAAACTATTGCCTTGTCTTTTGTGTAGGGCCCGGTAGGAGGTAACACTAATAATACTGGTAGCCCGGCCTAGCCCAGGAGGGCTTGATACACCAGTATAGTGTATCTGGCAGGGGACACACCTTGGAAATTCCAGTCTGCCCAGACCTATTATCTTTGGTCCAAGTATCCTGTATTTGATTGCTTGGATTGGAGGCTTGGCTTTTTAAGACCAATTCTGGTAAGATCTGGGGGTCTTGGAGTCCTGTTTTGTTTGCATTTTTGAGTGCTAGAAAGCCAGTATCAGGGCGCTTCCATTACAGGTCCTGCAAATCCTATTTGCCTGGTGGGAAGCCAGGAAGTGGCACCCGCGGAAGTGGGTAATTGTAAGTTTTTTATCCTTTTTTCCAATCGGGGAATTAAATTTACCTTGAGTACCATTTTTAAGGTCAGATTTCATCTTTATCCATTTTTTTTCCCCAGAGACCGTTGTTCTCACTCCTTGATTGGAACTTTGTGCAGGGTGTAACACGGATGGTTCCGTCTGTCAGGGTGCTCTTGTGACTTAGGCTGTCTTTGAAACCAATTACCTAATCCTTTGTTGTGGAAGGTGGCTTCTTTGATTACTATCACTTGGCAGGAAGATTGTCAAAGCTGGCGGCCCTTTCATGTAAGGAGCTGTTCTTGGCATCATAAGGTGATGGTCGTCCTCATCTTCCTGCCTAGAATGCTTTTTTGTTTTTCACTTAAATCAGGACTGTGTCTTGCCTATTTTTTCCTAGTCCACAGTCAGCAGGCGAAAGAGCACTTCATACTCTGGATGTAGTTTAAGTGGTCAGGATTTACTTGAGTTGGCGGCACATGTCAGGAATCCTACTTTGTGCTGCCCGAAAAGGGCAGGTGGCATCCAGGTCAACTATTTTTAATTGGCTCTGCTAGTTAATCATTCAAGCCTATGGCTTGAAGTCCCACCCTTTCGGGTGAGAGCACACTCTACCAGGAGTGTGCGGGCATCTTGGGCTATCCGCCACCAGGCGTTAGTTTCTCAGGTTTGCAAGGCTGAAACATGGTCTTTGGTTCATACATTCACAAGTTTTTACCAGGTGGATGTCAGAGCCACAGACGTTTCTGTCTTTGGCTGCAGTGTTTTACAAACAGCTGAGTAGCTCCTTTTGGAATGTTGGTGGTTATTGTGATGTCGTCCACCCCTCAAGTTTTATTACTTTGGGACACCCCACATAGTCATTATTATGGCCTGCTCTGTGTCTCGTGATGTACAATAAAGAAA